TGATTTTGGGTGCGTTTGGTTGGGTTTTGGGTGAATTTGGGGTGGGTTTTGGGTGGGTTTGCGTGGGATTGGGTGAATTTGGGGTGGGTTTGGGCGGGTTTGGGGTTGATTTTGGGTGGGTTTGGGTGGATTTGGATGAATTTGGGGTGGATTTTGGGTGGATTTGGATGAATTTGGGGTGGATTTTGGGTGGATTTTGGGTGAATTTGGGTGGATTTGGGTGGGGTTTGGGTGGGTTTGGGTTGATTTTGGGTGGATTTGGATGGATTTCGGGTGGGTTTGGGTGGATTTGGGGTGGATTTGGGGTGAATTTGGGTGCATTTGGGTGGATTTGGATGGATTTGGATGGATTTCGGGTGGGTTTGGATGGATTTGGGGTGGATTTGGGGTGGATTTGGATGGATTTCGGGTGGGTTTGGATGGATTTTGGGTGGATTTCGGGTGGGTTTGGATGGATTTTGGGTGGGTTTGGATGGATTTCGGGTGGGTTTGGATGGATTTCGGGTGGATTTGGATGGATTTCGGGTGGGTTTGGATGGATTTGGGTGAATTAGGGGTGGATTTGGGGTGAATTTGGGTGGGTTTGGATGGATTTCGGGTGGGTTTGGATGGATTTGGGGTGAATTAGGGGTGGATTTGGGGTGAATTTGGGTGGATTTGGGGTGGGTTTGGGTGGGTTTGGATGGATTTCGGGTGGGTTTGGATGGATTTCGGGTGGGTTTGGGGTGGGTTTGGATGGATTTGGGGTGGGTTTGGGTGGATTTCGGGTGGGTTTGGATGGATTTGGGGTGAATTTGGGTGAATCTGGGCGATTTTGGGCGCATTCTGTGCCGCAGCCCCCGCCCGGCGCCCGTTCCCGCGGCCGCGGCCCGAGGAGCCGATCAAACCGTACTCGCTGAGCGAGCGCCACTGTGAGCGCGGGCCGGGCGGGGCCGGGGCGTGGGCAGGGGAGTGGGCAGTGGGTGCGGTCAGTGGGTGTGGTCAGTGGGTGTGGTCCCTGGGTGTGGTCAGTGGGTGTGGTCAGTGGGTGTGGTCAGTGGGTGCGGTCAGTGGGTGCGGTCTGGGTGTGGTCAGTGGGGGTGGGCAGTGGGTGCGGTCAGTGGGCGTGTCCCTGGGTGTGGTCAGTGGGTGTGGTCAGTTGTGTGGTCAGTGGGCGTGTCCCTGGGTGTGGTCAGTGGGCGTGGCCCCGGCCCCGCCCCGCCCCGGCTGACGCGCCGCCCGCAGTCCTGCACGAGGAGCCGGAGCCGCCGTGGCCGTTGGGCGCGGCGCGGCGCTCCCCGGTGCGCGGCAGCCTCCGGCCCTTCCTGCCCCGCCGCCGCGGCACCCCCGAGCCGCCGCCGCAGCCCGAGCCGCCGCCGCGCCGCGCCAGGTACGCCGGGGCTGGGGGCACCGGGGGG